GTGTCCCCACCGGGAGCCGCGGCGCGGAGCGCAGGTACGGGAGGGGATGCGGTGCGGGCCGAGAGCGGGGGCGGGGATGCGGACTGGGAGCTGCTCGCCCCGGGAGAGGGCCGGGGGTGAGGGATGGGGGGTTCCTCACCGCCGACAGAGCCAGTGTCCAGAGCAGTCCCCACCCCGGGGGTTCCAGGGAACCGGCACATGCCGTGAGAGCCAAGGATGCGCTCGTGAGCTACCCCCTCACGCCGGTGCCCTCCCCGGCAGCGGTGTGCCCTCTAGAAACGGGGGCTGGGATGAGGGCGAGTGCCAGCGCCGGTGGCACCGACCTGGGGTTGGAGTTCGGCCTGGGTAGGGTCCTGCTCCCCTGACCCTGCTCCCCCACTGAGCCCCTGGGGCTCACCGGGACACTGACTGTGGGGTGCAGGAGGGCCAGGACCCCACCCGTGGGAGCCATCAGGCCCAGGACCTGCCCCCAGCCCTGGCTGACAGCATCTTCCCTCAGCCCAGGCAGCCCCCCGCACCCCTCCGGGAGCCATGGCCCAGCCGGGCAGTGAGCTGGGGTCCCCGCCGGTGGCACCCACATCCCCTGAGCTGGAGTGCCAGATCTGCTACAGCCACTTCGATGCCCGCACCTGCAGGCCCAAACTGCTCCACTGTGGCCATCGCCTCTGCACCCGCTGCCTGCGCAGGATGGTGTCTCCAGGCGATGCATTGACCCCCCAGCTCCGCTGCCCCTTCTGCCGCCAGCACAGCCCAGTGCCCGGCGGGGACGTGCAGCAGCTGCAGGATGATGGTGAGGCACTGGCACTGCTGACAGGCCGTGAACGGGCCAAGAAGAGGGGTCCACCCCGAACCCCGGAGGTCCTCCTTTGCCCTGGTGTGCTGGAGCCCACATCCAGTCCCGACTGCCTGGTTGTCACCATCCTGGAGGTGCCGGAGGACGTGGCCCCACCGGAGAGCCTGGGCAGGCTGGAGGTGGTGCGGCTGTATCGCCCCACCAGCCTGGGTGTGCTGCCCTGCCACGGCCCTGGGCAGAAGTGCCGCGCCTGGGGGTGGCGAGCCGTCCCCCGCTTCATCCTGGGTGTCCTCTGCCTCCTTTACTTCAGCTCCCTGCCCTTTGGCATCTACCTCCTGCTCATTGAGCACCACAGCCTGGGCATCATCCTGGTCAGCCTTGTGCCCTCCACCCTCCTCCTCTGCATTGTCTACAGCCTCTGCCAGTGCCTGTGCCTGGAGGTCTTTGGGTTCCCCCACTCCTGACCCTGCCAGGCCAACCTCTGTGCCTGTGCCAAGGAGGGTTTGGGTTCCTTGGAGTGTTATCCCTTGGGGTACAGGTGTTCCCTGATCCACAGCATGCCCTGCCTGGACCACAGGGAGAAGCTCAGCGCCTGGTGCCTTCCCATGCAGAACAGCACTGGAATTTCCATGTGGCAGCCCACATCTGAGTGGCTGCAGGAGCTCATTGCAGCCTACAAGCATTTGGGCTGGACCCTCAGCTCCTCATCCTCCTCTTCCACAGCAGACAAAGAGCAGGAGCTGGGCTGAGAGCAGAGCAGCAGCCGGGAGACTAATCCCAACTGAGGCAGGCGAGTGCTGGGCGCTGAGCGCCGCGGCCGGAGGGGCCCCGGCAGGAGAGGGACGGGCAGAGCCCGGGGGCTCCTGCGGCCGGACCGGCCCCAGCACGGCTCCGTGTCCATAGTGTAAATAGTTCTGTCCGTGGCGCCCACGCTCCCGGCGGGGCTGCTCCCATCGCATCCGTGTTCTTTTCCCATGTGTGAGTCCCGTGTTTGCCGACACTGTGTCCTGGAGAGGAAAGGAGCAGAGGAGAGGAGTTTCTTTGGTGTGTAAAGACGTCTTTGCAGCTGTTTTGTAGTCGTTGTGGTTTTTATGCGAAGCCTCTGGGCTTTATTTAACCTCCTTGGGTTTTGTTTTGTAAGGATTAATTTAACACCGCTAACCATTTTATTACTTTTATCGAGAAGAAAAAAGTCTATTTTTGCTCTCTGCCTTGGACCTGCCCTGTTCCCCAGGGACTGCTTGCAGCACCAATGGCACTAAAGTTCCCCACATCCCTGCTGGTACATCTGCATCCCTACCAGCATCCCCACCGAGATGCCACATCCCTGCCAGCATCCCCAGCAGCACCCACACCAGACAGGCAACACCAGGAGGCCCAAGACAGTCACGTTTATTATCACTCTGTGTCCCTCCCTGCCCACATCTCCCACTCTTCTTGGCTGGGCAGCTGCCAGGTCCCATGTCCGTCTGTCCTGCCATGCCCTTGGGGACAGGACATGACCAACCCAGCCCTACACCTGCTCCAGGACCACTGGCAACCCTGGTGGACACCCGTCCTTGTCAGGGGGAGATGCCAGCATCGCCTCCACACTCCAGATCTTGGGTTTCTGGAGCTGCTTGCCCTGCCCAGGGCTTGGCCCTACTTCAGGGCTGCCCCCACACCCATCCTGCACGGGGGTGGAACTAGGAATGGGTTCAGCAGCTGGTGGGACCCCCTCGCCCTCGCTGTCCTCGCCGTCCGAGGCGCCGCGCGTGGCCCAGCCCGCCTTGTTCTCCTTCTTGAGGCGCCGGCGGGCGTTGGCAAACCAGGTGGAGACCTGGGTGAGGCTCATCCGGCTGACCACAGCCAGCATCACCTTCTCCCCCTTGCTGGGGTAGGGGTTCCTGGGGTGCCGTGCCAGCCAGGCCTTCAGTGCCCCGGTGCTCTCCCGCGCTGCTGCCGCCTTCGCCCGGCCCGGCTCCATGGGCAGCCCCAGTGGCACCTCGTAGGGTGGGGAGACCTGGAGGGGCAGAGGGGTGTCAGGGTGGGATGGGGTGAGGCGGTAACACGGCCAGAGAAGAGAGGCTGAGAGATGTAGGGGCTCCTACATCCCTTCGTGTGTGGGAGGGAGCAGAGCTGTATCCTTTCCCTCCTCGCCCTTTCCCATGCGGATCCTGAAATGCTGAGGTGCGGGGGGGAGGGAGGGGAATGCTGAGGAGGCGCGGGGGACTTGGGACAGCAGATCCCCAGTCCCCACCCTAACCACCCCACACAGCCCCATCCCAGCCCTGGGAGGGTCCCATGTCCCAGCCCTCCGGATCTGCAGCCCTGTACTTACCAAGGGTGTCAGGAGGCTCATGGGGGGTGACAGGAGGCTGTACCCAGCCAGCATGGGGCAAGGGTAGGGGTAGGCGCAGGGCAGTAGGGCTTGAGGGGGTTCCCGCAGGGTCCCCCAAGGCCCCCCACAGCTCCCCAGCTCTTGTCCTGGGCTCCTCTTGCCCCGAGGTGCTGCCATGCTGCAGGAGAGGAGCTGGGGAGCTGCTCCCGGGCGTTTTATAGCTGCTGGGGTCCGCAGTGACTGACAGCTGATTAGGGGGTATTAGCACCCACGAGAGCAGCAGCAGGATCTGGGGCACCCAGTACCCCCCCGGCTACTGTTGGGCAGGGACTGGCAGGGACTGCCCTCCTCGCCTGCCTGCCACTGGCCAGGACCCTGTCTCCAGCCCCCCAACTCTGCACAGCCTACATGGCCCCAACGGATGGGGTGCAGTGGCACCCAGGGGCTGGTGCTTGGGACCCACGTGAGCTCCACAGCCACCCACAGCCACAGGAACACAACACACCTGGGACTTTACTGCAGTGCCCAGAGCATCAGTCCTGCCCATGACCCCAGTCCTGACCTGGTCCTGGGGCTGGGGTCAGCAAAGTCCCCCATGCTGTGGAGGGCTGGGTTGGAGGGCCAGGGGCTGGTGGACTCATGCCTGGTGGGAGAACAACCTCCCATATTGCCCTGTCCTGCTCCTTCTGTGTCTTGGCCAGGTCCTCACCCAAGCTCCAGCACTGCCACTTCTGCCGCTGGATTCCCGGCAACAGAGCAGTGAAGGG